TATAAAAAATATACAGAAACACAGAAATATACAGCTTGGTAAAAAACACAGTAACATTCTGTAAAATGAAGTCAACATCAAAGTATTCTACAGAGAACATAAAAACGGGAATTAAAAATATGAGAAACATGAAAGTTTAGTTTGACGCTGAAATATTATGACCGAGCACAACACAGCAAGTCAAATATGGAAGAGCAAAGTCAGCAAGAAAGGCAAGGTGTATGTGCTTTTTTTTTATGCTTCCAGGCTATATTTGTACTTTGTTCTTCCTCTACATTCATCCTTAAAAATTAGGTTGGCTAGTTGTTTTGTGGTTTACAGCTAGGCTGTGACATATGTGCCTACAAGCACAACACACTAGATTTCACCAAATCCTTAATCAGTAATCATTTACAATGCACTTGTTAGGAAGCAATGAGTCTATCCCTACACAGCAAAATGCGGTCCCTGGAACCCACACAAATAATCCTAGTTTCAAATCCATCCATAAGGATTTGTCATAACCATGCAGCTTGAAAATCACCATTCATCATCATCATCATGTGCAAATTACTACTCATCATGTGCCATGCCCGTAGGTTGTAGATTGTCATGTTTTGCCATCTTAGGTGATAACCACAATCACGAAGTAGTTCAATATTTTGTGTCTTGTCCCATCCATCTGGCAAGGCCATTCAGGTATTCACCTCTTTGCCTTCCTCTTGCTCTCTTTCCATCAATCTTGCCAGCTTTTACCAATTTCTCGAGTCCATTCCTTATAATTATAATATGTCCAAAACATATTGACTGTCTTTGTCCAACAGTTCTAAATGTTTACAATTTTCATCTGTCTTGACGAGGACTGCCTCATTTGTTTTTATATCCTTCCATGTCATTCTTCACATTCTTCTCAGAAACCACATCTCTTGTTGCGAGTACATATTTTTCTGCTTATATGCTTACTGTCCATATTTCACAAGCATATAACAACACTGGTTCTACTTAAAACTTCTACACTTTTTTCTGACGGCAAGTAACAGCTTCTCATTGTTCAGAATCTTTTTTTTTCAGTCATTCCTAATGTCATAAGTTGTCATTTGTGGCTTGGGCATAGCAAATGCTCTTCGTAATGCCGAGTTTAATCCCTGCTGCGGGCCTTGCGTCTTGCATTGATTACAACAGAGGTTATGGGAAGCTGACCGTCCAGAAAGCAATGGCAAACTACTGGACGTAAACTTGCCTAGAAAAAACACAACATCCAAAAAATGCTGGGGTTGGTTCTTCAATGTCTTGTAAACGATATGCAACTAACTTTTTAAAACTAACATCATAAAATATATAATGCAAGTACACCAAGATGAAAACAGGGTCTCCCAGATCTTTTATAGGACATGAATTTGTAGAGTACATTGTAACTGTGAGAAGTGAAATATGGGGAACTCTGAGGCCGTAGATATGATAAACAAATATACAAGAGGCCAACCTCTACTATGATATAAAGATGTGTTCAAGTGGAATGATACAGGTATTGAGGTGGACTCGTAGGAACAAAATGCCACGGACTGTGTTGTGTGGAAGGGGAACATCAGGAAAGGAATGAGAACGAAGGAAGAAATTATTGCAAAGAAGATAAAAGCTAAGAATCTAAAAAAGAAACACACTAAATACAAATGCTGAAAACATGGTCCTGAAATCCCACGCTGTAATTGTAGAAGACTTCTTAACAAGGACAGATATTGCTAATCACACTCATCATCATCATGGGCTGTGAGTCTTATGCCTCCTCATTGCACAATATAAAACTAGCGTCTGGAAAGATGGAAGGTGCTATCACCAATCTTATAAGAACTGGTTAGCACTCACAGAAACAAGATGTAGAAAAAAAAGGACACAGTAGACAATATTGAAAAAAAAATGAGAGCGATCGTTACCATACCAGGAATCAAACCTGTTGCCTGCAAATGACAAAGATGTCTCGCTGCAAAAACAAAATGACAACTCTGGGCTTGCATGTTAGTACACTTGTTTATGCAGTAAGGAGACATCGTCACCTGGAGGGGACAGGTTCATTTCCCAGCATGGTAATAAAAGCAGTACATTTGTTTGTTGTCTAGTGTGTCCTCTTGTCTCCCAACTTCTTTCTTTAACAGCAGTTCAGTTCTTGTATGTTTGTTTATCCTAACTGTAAGAAGCTATGCTGACGGCAATGCCCAGGGCTGGGATCCGACCCCCCCCCCCCCTACCCCCCCCTTTTGCAAACAACCAAAAACCCATGAAGAGAGATTCGATTTTGAATATTATTACATTGATATAATCCTCCCCATTTAAAAAAAATACATTATATATTCACTTGCCATATAATATATAATTATATATATATATCTATATATATATATAATTTCGCGTATATATTTATATATATGATATATATACTATATATATATATATATAGATATACACACACACACACACACATACATAAGACACACAAACATATTTATGCACATACATATATACACATTCACATATATTCACATTTATATACACATATCCGCGCATAAAAAGTTAGCTGTGTATCCTTTACAGGACGTTGCAAAACCAACCCCAGGATTTTTTTGGGGTTGTTTTAGATTTCTTTAAGGCAAATTTATGTCCAGTAGTTTGCCACTTCTTTCTGGACGGTTGGGTTTTCGACACCACTGTTGAAACCAACGCAAAGTGCAATGCCCAGGCCTAGGATCGAACCCAGCACCCCAGCATTACAAAGCGCGTTCGCAATGCTCAAGCCACAGACGCAGACACACATGCATATACATATATATATACATACATATATACACACACATATATATATACACACACACATATATTATAATTATACACTTAACAAACAATGCCTATAAAATTTGTAAGGGCTGAGCACCCTCTGCCCCCAATGTTTTCTTTGTGCTGGTGCCCCAGCGGGCTAGTTTGATAAAGAAAGAATAGTTCCATTGCTTAGCTACTAAGCTAAGTGCATGGTGCGACAATATGAGCTGTAGATTTAATATGTAATGCTTTTCTACTGTACCCGACATGGTCTGTATTGCAAACTACAGATTCAGAGGAACTATGAAGCTGGAACTATGATTGCCTGATCTTACAACCAGGAAATGCTGGCAGATCTAGATCTTACTACTAGGTTATTACATGTCTGATGCCTGTTGTCGCAATATTGGTGGTGCCTTTATGTGGTCAAAATTGATTGCGAGTGCAACTGCTGATCTGTTGGTGACTTCTGCTATCATCCATGATGAACTGCATTTCTAATGTCGGACTGTTTGTGTTAGCACTTCGGATGGCTACTGTATGCTTTTAATGTGTGTGTATGCTAGTGCACATGCTGATAAAGAAGTCTGTCAATCTTTCCACTAGGGACTGTGATGAACATTCTGTGTGTTTTCGTTGGCACAGAAGCGGGGCAACTAATGGGTGACCCGTTTACTATAAGGTTGAAACTAAGATTACCAGATGGCAACATCATTGGTGTTCACTGTATTCTGTGTCAGTTTACTGTTGTTATAAAAGATGTGTGGTACTGTCAGTACTTATGATGATGTGTTGACTGGTACACTATTCATGCACTTCACTAGCCTTATACATCACAACCTCCCCTCAAACTGAGCTGAAGAATTGAATAAGATAGTAACTGTAAGTGAGTCAACAGTACAGTAAGTCTACTCTAAGCCAGGTCGGAGTGAGTGAGTGTTCGGCCGCACGTCTGCAGAACTGGGAAACCAGAAAAGTGAGTCGCTGAACAAATGAAAATGTACCTTACCTATATTTCAAATTAAAGCTAACGGGCTTATAATTATATAAACTTACATGCTTGAAGATATATGAAAAGCTCGCTGTTACAGCCCCTTATAGCCATTTGTAAAACTGTTCACTGAAATATCACCAGAAAGGATCGGAATGTAGGTTGTTTGGAACCAGCTGTTGGCAACCATCAATTCGTGGCATCAGGGCGCCGCCATTTTAGAATTAACCTCTGACCCCGAACGGCGCCGCGTCTATCTGAACCAACGAAACAATATACATGTAAATAATACATTGACCCTCCGTACAGCATTGGCGCCGAATCTTAGCGACTCAGGTCCCTTGATCCCCCACCCCAATCCTCATGTTTCTTACGTAATTTGTTTGCCGGGAAAGGGGAGGGGGAGAAGCGAGCTTGCACCGCCCATCTGAGTTTGAGCTGAGTTGATCCAAGAACGGACATCACAGAACTATGGACATTTCCGTAAGCGCCCCCCCCCCATCTTCAGCAGCCAGCGAAGAGTTCCAATATCAATGGGGACAGTAGAATTATGTTGAAGCGTCTGTTGTGCCTTTCCTCTGAGTGTCGAGCATCGGCCAGAACCCACTGTCACTCCCCGCTGCATCACTCTTACCAGACTGTGGTGATATATTATAAAAAGTAAAAAAAAAAATTTTTTCACGTCTTGGGTGCAGCGGGCATTAGGTAAGAACATCCCTTATTTATACAGACCAATGCTACTAGGCGAGTAATGGGGTCAACATGTGTGTATAGCTGATTCTCAGGCCAGCGGAAAGCTGCAGTGACTGCCTCCACCTCCATTCTTAAGCTGGATGTTGTGGTCTCATATGCTGTCCTGCACCAAACGTTGACCATTAACTTTTGCTAATAAACCCCAAGCATTTTTTTTTGTCTCTTGAGACTGAACCGACTGTATTAATAGCCACATAATTTGAGCGAGCATTATCTTGAATTAACTGCTGAATTTCTACCTCCGTGGCACCCGCTGGCCACTCTCTGCAATCCCGGCTCAAAGTAATTATGACTCTACACAAAAATGACTGTTCCGCTGGCACTTTGACCCATTCCTCTCTTTGCCTAATCTTCTCCAGGATGCAAACCTTTCTGATTGTGTCTTCTGCCTTAGCCATCAATGACTTCCCTCTTACCAGCCTACCCTTGGCTGCGTCCATAGCTTCGTGCAAAGGGTGATCTGTATTTGCAGCTACTCTTAGATATGACTACACCTGCAGCACCTTGAGTCTACCTGCAACAGTCGCTAAAACAAGGATGTATCGAATACACATCCATCTCCACATGGTCCTTGGAGGACCGGCCCTTTAAATGTGATTCCAAAATACTTCACTTTACTCTCTCTGTTGACGTTTCTACGATTTATCGTGAGTACTGGGACATCAGCTCTAACAATCCAGTTGTCCAGAGAGCACCACAAAAAAGATGAATTTTTTTGGGTGGATGACAGCTCTCATTTCTGTACAACCAGTCAATCGCTTTGTCGACTGTCGCTTGCTGCTCCTGGGCTGTCTCTCCCCCTCCCCTACTTCCCTGCTTATTTATATGCGAGTATATCATCTGTAACTCTTTCCAACTCCTGGTGCTTTTAGGCTTGCATTCTTGCTCGTAAACACATTACAGAGCATAGGCGAGATGGCGGATCCCTGTGGCAGTCTTGATGCTACACTGCGTTGTTCTGAGGTCCACGAGAACAGTCGGAAAGCAAACCGGACGAGAATACAGAGCAGCTGCAACCCAATTCACCAACTAGGGACTGACCTCCTTCTACATCACTGCAGTCATCTAAATGTGGAGGAACAGACTGCCAGCCATAGTATAAGTCAGGGCTATGCAACTGGCGGCCCGCATGTGGCCTGCAAAGGATTAACAAGTGGCCCACGAATCATTGCCAATTGTAGCGTATTTTATGATCGTTCTACTCCTGGTCACTTTATCTCTGGTCAATGATAATCTCTATTTCCAGCAGTATGGTCCATGAGTTAACATAGAATTTTGCTACACAGATTTTTTAAATGCTCCGTCAGATAATGGAAGAACTCGTTTTTTTTTTTTTTTTTAATATTAGCCTATCCCAGATGACGTCACAGGACAGTCCAACATTTTAGAGGGTGGTAAGACCGGGTTTCCTGGCTTTCTGCTTTTAACGACCCCAGAACATCTAGAACTAGCCTTGACCCCAACCCACCCACGTCCCACGAGAGAGTGCAGCCTAGGTCCCACGAGAGAGTGCAGCCTAGGTCCCACGAGAGAGTGCAGCCTAGGTCCCACGAGAGAGTGCAGCCTAGGTCCCACGACTGCATGAGGCTTTTCTACCACCCTCTGAAATTTTAGACTGTCCTGTGACCTATGAATTTCTCCTGTTTGGGGTAGGATATTAATAAAGCAACAAGAACTTTAAATCGTATGCAATCGCAAATTGCTTAGACTACAACATGGATGGGATTGCTTTAGTATACAAGAAGAGATATGCGATTTATGCTTTAAAAAAAAAACCAGTAATATAGTAATATTTGCTGGACTGTGGAAATATGAACTCTAAAGAAAACCAACAAAGAAACTAAGAAATTACTCAACACTAGTTTTTCAAGAAAGGTGGCTGGATACCTACACCCAATGTTCTCCCCAAGACTGAAGTCACCGCGTCTTTAGAGAGGGGCAATGTATCATATTGAGACTAAGGACAGGCGCCACAAACTTCGTCAACTTATGTTTAATTTTTGGGGGGTATATCACTTGGCACTAGAAGATGCCGAGCATGTACTCCAACACTGTCAATGTCTGCTGCTAACAGAGATGCCCTCTGGCCTGTTCGACCTACAGTGAAGACAAAGCTGTATGATACACGAGAAGACTGCACGATAGCTTTCATCAAGGTTACCGGCATCCTGGTGTAACTTTTCTGACAGAAGGAAAGAAGCAGAAGAAGTACTAGATAAAGTCACAGCCTTTCAGGGTACTCATAAACAACAATTAAAAACAAGGTAGAAGTTCGAGTAGCAGTAGATATTTATTTCATTTGAGTATACCTGTAATCAAAACTAACAAATATCTAAAAAAGTTGCCATCATATTAACATCACATTTTTTAAGTGTGAGTAAAGAAAAGCATAGTTCACAAAGAAAATATTTCGACACACAACTCTACCAGCCGTACAGCTCTGCCAGTCAAACGACCGTCTGCTCTATTTTCTTTTCCTGATTTCCGAAGGAAGCAAAGGTGAAAGCCTTTTTTTTTTTCTGCCGCAGGGTGTGAAAAGGCTGTTGATTGTTTGGGTTTGGTTGCTATTGCGAATAAATTAAGCAAGCTCGGAGACCTAAAGGTGGTAAAAGAATATGGGACCGGGGGAGAAAGCCCTTTTGATATCTGGTTCTCGGCTGGTACTCTCTCCTGTCACCCTGTGTCGCTTGACCGCAAGTGGTCGGAACGCGCGTTAAGTGCTGCAGATTGAGTCGAGATTGATGAATTGTCTCACTGATTACGGCTATAATATATTTCAATAGTTAGACCTAAGTTCCCCTTAGTAGTAATATGTGTTAGACCTGGATTTATATTATGCAGATAGTTTGATTGCAGGTCGATGGAGGCGATTTACTTTCTGGTGGTATATAGAGACTTTAACGCTCATATTAACATGTTTCGATTTTTGCCACCACTAAGGTAATTTTTCTGGATGTATGCGTTCATTATCATGTTTCCTTGTTAACTGGAGTGAGTAACACATCTGTTCGAACACGATGTTGGTTTTTAATGTAATGTTATCTGTAAAGCTCTTAGTTTTGTATTCAGGAAAATAAAGAAATGTTGAATGCGAAGGTTATATTCATTTGCTTGATTCAAGATATAACTTGTAGTTCGTGTGCCTGGTTTTCTAGGCATTGCCTATGTAGTTGTTGTAGTGTGTTGTTGTTATTGTTGTGTAGTTCATTATTCACATATTCTCTGCCTGGGTTATGATCATATTTAAGGTCCCTGCACAGAAGAACCCTTTCTTTTCTTTTTTTTTTTTCCCCCTGATTTTTCTGTTCATCGGTAAACCACTTATTGTCATAACCACATTTCTTTCCGTATCTCTCTCTCTCTCTCTACCCCCTCCCCCCCCCCCCCCCCGTTTCCGCTAGTACATTTCTGAAATTCTTCTTTTACTCCAGGTACTTCATTGAAATGTTGGGGGAGATGTAAAGATCTTTTCTGTTCTTTCATGCGATGTATAAACTTATCTTTGTTTCCTTAAGGCCCTTTTTGATGTTCTGTCTACTGCGTAGTCTTTCCCTTATTTGGCCTCCCTCGTATTTCTTCCGTTTGGCTTTCTGTGGCAGTTGGTATCAGAGCATTCTCGTCAGATGGCCAAAACCCCTAAATTGTTTGCTCGTGCGCGCATCTCCTAATTTCCTTTTGCGCACCACTGCTTCTGAACTAGTATCAAGCAGAACGACAGTTTCATCGCAACCATAACACGTGTTAGCAAACGGTATGACGCAATAAGACCTGTCAAATTGTTAACAATAAGTGAGTAAAGAAAAATACCGTTTCCATACTGTAAAATCAGTGTTTGCAAAATATTCTATATTTAAAGACACACTCAATATTTTCAATATCAAGTCGAACCATCTTCTGTTTTCCTTTGCGCTTTTCCCTGAAAGGGCGGTGTGCATGTTGTGTTGTGGTTTACAGTTTGGATGCGACAGCTGCGCCTTTCAACACTTCCGATTTCGACAGAACCCTAATTAGCTGCTAAATACGATATGCTTGTTAATGGGATCCTGGAGCAAAGTGATAATCACATGACTTTCCATAACATTGTCTGATACTAACTTCATCAGGCATCCCTACAGCAATGTAGTCACAAATAGACTCCCATGCAAACAGTGTCGGATTTAGGTATTAGCTAATTAAAGCTACTACAACTGAAGGCCTCACAATCTTCAGGGGCTTCAAACATGAACTACGAGCAGCTTTGTCTCACGAAAAATGGTCTGCACTTAACATCTAATGTACAGAAAGCGACTTGTTACACAGCATATTTGCCAGTGACATAATCAATGATTTTATATTTGATAAGCATTTTAAACTGTAACTTCAAGCCTCTAAAGTAACTATATTATTTTATTTAATATAACACAATTTATGTCATTTAACAAACATATTGTTCATTAGCCACGTAATAAGAAAAGGAGCACTGGAAAACATAGTGACAACTGAAAAGATCAGTGGAAAGAGGGGTAGAGGCAGAGAGATGATGCTGGATGGGCCGAAACGATGGCATGGAGGGATATCACCAAGAGAGCTGTTCCATGCAATCAGAAATCGTGTCTTTTGGAGATGCATGAGCACCTAGGCCAACTGGTAGGGCACATGATGATTATGATAATTGTTCATTGTTGATTTTAATAAAATTATGCTATATATGTATGTATCCTCATCGCGCCCAGAGGCACATAGGCAATATATATGGTAATAGCGTATATAATTTAGTTTTAGGAAATACCTGCTGTAATTTGAAACGGAAGAGACCTCATGGCTTCATATAGCTTAGGGCCTCATCAAGACTTAATCCGGTCCTGGCTGCAAGAGGCGTCAGAGCTCAGAAATATGAGTCTGCAGACCAGTGTCGCCTGCAGTCGGTGTTTGTGCATCAGGCGTTTTGAACACGCTTCGTAATGCCAGGGTGCCGGGTTCGATCCCAGCTGCAAACGAGTTGTCTTGCGTTGGCTTTGACAGTCGCACCGAGAGCTGACCGTTCAGTAGGCAGTGGCAAACTACTGAACGTAGAATTCGCCTTGGAAAACCACGACAGACAAGTATTCTAGCCACAAGGCAACCCCAGCTATAGCAGAGTTTTATGACAATATTTAAACTGGAATGTGCAATATAAAAAACAAAAACTCTGGAATATGTTCTATGTACAAACATACAAACAAACAACATGTTTTAAAAAAATAGGTGTCAACTATGGATAGTTTTCTAACCCATGTGAAAGTATTTAACGAACTCTAACCACTTCAGCCAGTTATGACTTCATGATGCCAGTAATTTATGGTTATATAAACGAGCTAGTGAATTTTGTTTTTGCTTCTCACTCTTCCATGCTATGTGCATCTTTGACGCCTCCTACCTACACAGCCCTTTAAAAATAGTAATGGCAGGCGGTAATGAAAATGAAAAATAAAATAAATAAAAAAAACACTTGATCCTAGTAAACTTTCCGGCATTATACGTAACCGCTCATTGTCATGCTTGTAAGGTCTTATACATCCCAAACATAATCCGCCAACAGTGATGCAATTCTCGTTATTCTCCTTATGTTCATTTAATTTTGTTTAGAAGGATAAATTTGGTATGTGCTTTCTTCAGTTTGTGCACTTCTGCACGTACTGTCATGTGAGACTCCATTGTTCTGATATCCAGAATGTCACCTTTTCTAAGCTCAAGGACTCCTAAAAAAGAAAAAAAAAGGAAAATGTTGGTTTTGAGAAGTCATTCACGCAGCAATGAATTTAACTAACAATTTTGCGAAAGCATGCCCATAACGCTTAATTCTCTATGAGTTGAACTGATCCAAGAACAGACATCACAAACACCCTGTGACACACCCGGCTTTATAGCTGACCACATCACCCATCTTGTGCTGACGGTCTACAAAAATATAGGTCTAGCCCTATATGACCTATACGCGTGGAAAAGGGTCCTTTACTTACTTTTACTGCTTCTTATATCAAAAACTAAAGATCAGCGACATACATCAGATTTTGTTTTAAACATTTAAGCAGCAGATCGCGTATTAGCTTAAAACTGTAATTTGGTCACATCGTATTTCGCAAAAAAACTGCTATATACATATGATTTTGTTTCGTAGTTGGTCAGCTGTCAGGTGGAAACATGTTCTTCTATTGTAATGGGCTATGGGTGTAAACAGGTTGAGAAACACTGCTTTAGACTCTTGGGGGGCTACATCTTATTACCTCAGTCAGTAAGATATTTGTAATTCAAAATTAAATGGCAGAATCAGTGTCAATTAGGATTGGCAATCCTGAATTATGTAAACAAAAGGAACATTTTATCAATCTCTATCTTCTGTGTTAATCTGATGGTTAAATCCGTGAGAAAATTGCAGTGTGACAAGTGTCAATGCGATTTGTGTGTGTTGTTCAGGTGAAAGTGTTCATGTTTTATGCTTCGATGTAAACTCTGCAGTTGTGTACCCAACGAAATATTATGGAACAACCAACAAACACTTACCAAAAATGTTACACACTTTGTATTTGCGGGAGTTTCCTTCATCGTTTGTATGTGGACACACAAACCCACCATGTTGACAAGCCAACGTTGCTTGTTCATTCAGGTACAGTGCTAAAAAGTGTTTCTCTGAGTCTGATAAAATAGTGATCTGTTCAAGATAAAAAAATTTTTTTGAAATTTCATCATTTTAATCGTAATCATAATCAGCATCTGGTAATCTGGTAATCCTAGTTTCAGCATCATAGCAAACGGGTCACCCCATTGTTGCTCCGCTCCTGTGCCAACGAAAAACACTCGTAGCTCACAGTGTCACACCATGCACTCAACTCAGAAGCTGGGTGACACATCATAATCAGCTTCATCTGGGGTCTCATTAGCGCATTCGATAAGGTACTCGCTTTCAAATCCAGCTGCGACTCGTTGCAGCCCACAGTTGGTGTTCGAAACCGGGCAGTTTCCGAGGTTCACACAGCCTCTAGGAAATGGGTACCAGAGTTGACTCTGGGGTATGTGATAGGCTGGAAAACGGCAAAGACTACTGCTCAGCAGCTCAACGATTTTGATTTAATGTGGTTTAAAAATGACCGAAAGGCCACAGAAGCAGCTTTTAACTTTAGACAGTAAATTGGTGAAAAGTCTGGCCACTGGGTATAAAAAGGCCAACTGACTCAGTATTTGCCTCCTATTTGACTTCCAGACGCACCCTGTGGAGACCTACCCGGCTATTGTAGCTCTGGACTTGGGCTCGCCAGCATGGATGTGGGCGACTACAGGGGAAGGCCAGTTGTCTGACTGATTTTCCTGGCTGATCTAACGGTACGTTTCAATTGGTTAGGTGGTGTTAGATTTGATTTCCATGTATATCCTCGCTTGGAGATAATTTGATTGCAGGTCGCTATAAGTGATTTGTTAGCATATTGAAACTTAACGCACATGTTAAATATGTTTTCGTTTTTGCAATTGTTGAGGTAATCTTGCTGGGCGTATGGTGTCATTATCATATTTCCTTGTTAGCTGATGATCACTTTAGATTCTGATCGAGCACGTTGGTTGTTGTTAATGTTATTTGTGGACCACTCTGATTTTAGGTTAAGTGAAATCAACGGATATTCAATTTAGTAATCACAGTTCCAGTTGTTTTTCGTTCAGATTAGGACGTAGTTAGTGTGCCTAGTTTAGTATTTGTTGCTTGGCTGATCTAGACTTTACACAAAAGATTTTCTGTCATGGTGAGATACTTTTGATCTTACCCCCGCCTAAACGAACTTTTTTCTTTTTTTTCTTGTAACTGGGGCAGCTTAAGGTTGGGTTTCGGCTCCTACTCGCCACGTCACTTTGTTATAACTCTTGTAGGTTCAGAGTCGAGGGGATTCAAGGAGTAAATTTCCATATTATCCTTTATAATAATCTCTTCTCTTTCCTCCATTACAAGTTACCCCCTCTGCTTTACTTCTAGTACAGGTAAATAGAGGAACGTCACTATGGTTATGGAGTTACGTGCTGATGGCGACACAGGCGGACATTTTCTTTTCAGCTGTCCATACTGGTGGCAGAGCACTTATGGTTTATAACCATGTGCAATGACGCTGGTTCATATCTCCCGACTTTACCTTTTTTTTCAGCTTCATCTTCTGCTGTTGAGAACCTTGGGTAGGAATACTCGGGGGTGCGGTGCTCCATATGTAGGTAGTACTGGCTAATATTCCGTTAGTTAGTCAACAGATTGTCGACCCATTTAGCCCTCGGATCCCCTCCTTAGTAAGTTCCGCAGCGTGTAGCGGCTGACGGCGTCAGCTCTGTGTCGGTTTCATATTCTTCTTTGCCTTCCCGCATTGTGTTCTTTTCTGGCCAGATCCATTTTAACTTGCCATTCTTGCAGTCTGGTCATGGTTGCAGATTCAGTCATTTGTTTCTCGCAAATGTCTCACTTTTCGAAGATAATCAATTTATCAATTTGGCCCATGGCTTGCCCGCCCCCCTCCCCCCCCAAATTCTGTGTGGATGTACAATATCTTTAATGTTATCATTCCATATTTGGGGGGGGGGGGGATGCGCATTCTTGTAATCACATCAAACCCTTTCAGTGAAGGACTTTAGTTTAAAGTTGTTTGGTCTTCATTCTAAAGAACCTGATAAACCATCTGATACTCTTTTGCTGCACAAAGAAAGATGCTGTTCCTATAATCTGTCTGACAGTATCATTTCTTACTTAGTCTCAGATGGTTAAGTGTTTGCTTGACTCAGGCATCTCATCTATCAAGTGTTCATTTTTAAGTATGCGTGCCTCTAATAACGGTTTAAGTCTGACATCGCTGGCAACATATTCGTATGAATATGCTGTTTTTCTTTTTCTTTTATTGCCCCACCAGGACATCACACAAGCGATAAACACCCGATGACACATAGTGCCACCATGTGGATGAGGATCACCTGTGGAGAGGTCCCAGAAGCCGCTTTCAGCCATTAGACCATATTTATGGCCGGGCTATATTGCGGCCCTGGCAAGAGCCAGAGTAGGGCTTCAAATAACTAAAAATTGCATTTCACAAGGGGATGACCAGAGCAATAATAATATGCTGTTTGCAATTTGGTGCCGATTAGCGAGCCGAAACAGTTCTTCTCATTGGAAGTAAAACAAATCTAATTAATCCGATTGTCCACCCTAGAAACATTTTAAAAAATACTTTTTTCACGTATTTATGAATAGCAAAAATATACAATAT